ATCAATGATTTCTTGCTTACTGGGTCAACATTCACACTATTATTAATATTTTATTATTTATTTCATATTCTTAGTAAATACAAAGTAACATAACATCAATGTTATAATTTTTCACTCAATAAAGTTCTTCCTGCAATCACTTGCAAAAATCAAAGATATATGAGATTATAAATGCACGTGCTTGCACACACATCACGAAGCTGCCGAGAAGGATTACACATACGCTACGTTCCGAAATTCAGTGCTGGAAATTTATAGTTTATATCATGTCACATATCTTATAGATTTTCAGTATTGACAATACTGCACGTTGCGCGTTGCACGTTGTTCATACGAGTTGACGCTTACATTGAGAATAGAGATAGCTATATATAATAGGGCTTTCTTTCGCAAAGAATTTTGACATTACTTATCTGCAAACTTAATGTTAGTTACATAAATATTAATATCAATTATTTTACTTTATATAATTCTATAAAATAGTTTTATAATATTTCTTTCTTATAAATTTAATATTAAAATAATATTAAAAAAACATTAAAACAACACAACAAAATCTTTATCATTATAATGTTATTTTAAACGTAAGATTTCATCAAATTAAAACTATTGTAACTATGTTGAACTTGCAGCAAATAGAAGTGTTAAAATAACATTGAAAACAAAGTTTTAAATAAATTTTTAAAAATATTTCTCTGATATTTAAGAAAACTATATTATAAAATAATATATTTAAAATATGTATACAACATTATATCTAAACATTATAAAAAATTTACATAAAATTAATATTTCAGAACGTTGATTTAATGTTTCTTGCTTACTGGGTTGTTTGTACACCTTATTGTTAAACTTAAAAACGTGGAATTCAGAATAAGAGTGATACCCATAACCAATTCATTGAGTAGTATGGAAGTATGACCCATTATCTGACCCCACCGTTTTTTTATGCTATCAACTGTATTTTCAATCGGTAAGTTGGTGAACAAAGATACCACATCTAACGAAGCGATAGACGGTCCGTGGCTTCACACATATATATTTAAACTAACTACAAATAATGTACGACACGTATTATCAGAGGTATTTATACACATAATTTTTCAATAATTTGTTTGAGCTTTTAGAATGCTCCTAATTTGTGTGTTTTTTCGTTTTACATTAACAGGATGCGTTTCCTAAATCAAAAACTACGCTTATTAATTATCATTATCAACGCTTCTCTACTCATGTAATAATTTGTTTGTAAAAATTGAAACTGAAGATGGCCACATCCCTTGGCCGAAACGTCTGTGTTCAATTAATAAAAGTGAATTTTTGCGCAACTCAACCCAGCTCTTGCTCTATTGCTGTATATTAACACAATTCTTAGTTTTATTTTGTTAAAAATTAAATGTAATAACATACATATAAATGCATATAATAATTAAGACAGTATTATTAACTTTTTATTTATATTATCTTACTTTATTTTGGAAAGATAATTAATTTAAAAAAATTAAAATTAATTAAATAATAATAATATTCATTTTTATAATAAAATTTTAAAACAATAAAATTAATATATGATATTTAAAAAAACCTATAAAAAATTAATAAAATTTTCTATAAAACTTAAATAATTTTAAATTAAACTAGATAAAAAAATATTATTGCTTTTTACATAGTTCGTCAATTTCCGGAACAAAATTAATATTATGATTACTAATCAAAGCTGGAGGATTAATAATTTTTAGTATCTCATTATCAGTATATGTCAGAACGTCATTTTTTTTTTCAGGTAAGTTTACCGGTCGTCAAACGGTTTCGGGAGCGAGAAGTCCGTGAAGTCCGTATTTCGTTCGGTCAAATAAACAAGGTCGACGTGGTTGATTAAGTTTTCAGAAAGAAAAGAAGGTTCTATCGATCGTTGATCGTCGACTAAGTACCCGAAAAATTTAAATCGGTGGGGGAACCCGAGTTGCGCGATACATTCGTTTCATGTACGCTATAACCAGTTTCGTAGTGTTCAAAACCAAGTACATAAATCGGAGATACGCAAAAATATGTACTTACTTTATTAAAAGAAAATTATCTTTTTAACTTATTGAAAAAAAAAGTAATAATAATATTGTAAAAATAAAGTAATATAAAAACAAAGTAACAAGAAGAAAATAAGAATTTTAAAAATAACATATGCAGACAAAAATTTTAACAATAATGAATTTAACACAATTAATCTCTAAGTGATTAAAATCAATTCAATGATATTTCTAATGATATGATTAGTGAACTGATTACAGCCTTTAGTGGTTGGTAAATAGAAATCGGACAATAAAATTGAATCTTATACCAACCTGCAAATAATTTCAAAAAACAAAAAAATTTTAAATATGAGACAATCTTTTATTAGCTACATTTTACACGGTAAAACCTATTAATGCTTAAAAATTTCATCAATTTTTGTTGTATTTCTTTAATAAATTATAAAAAGCTTATTTGCAAAATTGCAACACTACTTACATACTAACATAGGTTATAAAATTGGCTATTTTTAAAATAAAAATTTTGATAAAAATATTTATATTTTGTTGGTCGGTAAAAGATTTTTATATAAAAGAAACAAACATTTAAAAAATTAAAAAAAAAAATTATTATTTTAAACACATATATTATGTATTTTTTATATTATAAAATTATGTTTCAATTTTCTAATACCGACCAAATGATCGGAAATAGGAATAATTGACTAAGTATGTGAACGTTTCACCGAACGACAGATTTTATAAAAATACAAAATTATTTGTGCGTGTTATATCAAAATACCCGGGGGTTGAGCTACCCACCGGGCGCGTCTCCAAAGTGGCGGATAGGAGGACGCCCAGTAGGTGTGAGCTCTCTGAGGGGACTCAGTGCTGCTGGGTAGTGGCGGTTATAACCTGGCCCCACGGAAGTAAAACCCTGTGGAGGGTAAGGGAAGACCGCTGCCATGGACCAGCTCCCCAAGCCAAGTTGTAAGCCATCGTGGCGATGGCTGCATGTCACTGGGGGAGCAGTGTCGCGAACGATACCTCTGGGGAACCGGGCGAAACCCCAGAGTATCCCTTACCCACGCATGCGGGGCTCTCCGTGGGCGGACCGTGTAATTCCCTAGCTACTCGTGGGACCACTATGGACTTTCTTAATAATTTAAACTTAGAGGACGAAGTGGGAAATCGGGAGGGCTCGCGTGACGGGTCTCCGAGGGAAGGAGCTGGGACGGTGGTAACGGACGGGACCCTTAAGGGCTCTGGAAGTGAAGCCGGCCCGGCTGCGCGGCAGAAGGCTTCACCTCCAGTTAAGAAAAACCGGTGCGGGGCCGAAAGAAGGAGGGCGAAGCGGATGAGAGCAGGGGCTTTGGAAGGGGCTCGCTCTCTTCCCGTGGCTCCCCCTTGTACGCCGGCGGAGGTGGTGAAGGGGCACACGATGGTAAACGTCGGAAAGGCTCCAATAAAACCCACCATCGGGCGGCCGTCCGTTGAAGAGGCAAAGGGCTCATAATGAGCACCATGCCTATGCGGACGCTGCTGACCCTCTGGCGAGGGTGATTGTGGCGGAGGGCTACCCCGAGGCAGAGATCACTGCAGAGCAATTGAATATGTTGAGGGGTGCGGCGGTAATCTCTCGAAAGAGATCGACGGGATCCAAGAGGGTCCAGTGCCCAGATTCCATAGCACCTCTCTAAGGAGCGGTGCGGCGGTGGTAAAATGCGCGGACGTCGCTGGGTTGGCTCGTGGAACGAATCGGCGGCATCATTCCGTGAAAGGGCGCCAAGCTCAAGGTGATGGGCATAGATGCGCTTCAAAAGCAGCACAGGGCGGTGGTTTGGGTCCTGGGACCTCCCGAGGGCGCGGCCACCGTCTTGAAGCGGCTGGAGAAGCAGAACCCGGGTCTTGTCACCGAGAGCTGGAAAGT